TCTCACACACACACACACACACATATAAACACTCTCTCTCTCTCTCTCTCTCACACACACACATACACTCTCTCTCTCTCTCTCACACACACACACACACACACACACAGTTACAGTCCATCGCTCTCTTCTAACCCTCATCACTAGTCTCTTATTTGGGTCAGAGTAAATTACTAAAGTGAAATACTTCATCAAAACAGAACAATAACATTGCTAGTAAAACCAAACATTAGAGTGTAGAGTTTTTAGCTTTCACATGCAGCTGAATGTGACATAAATACACTGAAATCAGATTGAGTGAACGCTGCTCCATCATAATTATTTCTCTTTCATTTTATGATTTTAAGAGTCATTAAAGTATAACTCTAGTATCTCAGACTTATGGATATTCCACAAGCGCATGAATAAATTATGTTTGGTGCTTTTGATCACAGAGTGTGTTTGCTGTGGAGCAAGTGACGCATTTGAATTGAGATTATGTTTATACAACTACATCTCAATCATTCGGAGACATATTTGGGCCCGTGGTTGAGATGCACTGTTGTTGAGGAGTAAATGAAATTATCTGCCTGTGTTTGTCTGTGTGTAGTTCACTGCAGGAGCAGAAGGAGGATCTGCGCAGACGTCTCGGCTGCACCACACACAAACTGCAGCAGCTGCAGAGCGAGTTTGAGTCGATGCGTCAGTATCTGGAGACGGAGCTGAGACGAGCTCAAGACCAACTCGACAAATTCACTGAGAAACTGCGCAGGTCCGAGAAACACGGTCACCGAATGAAGCAGCTGAGAATTAAATATTGTGTCTGAATGAAGTGCTTAAAGTCACCGTACAGATTTACAGTCACGCACAATGATCTGAAACTAACTAGTCAAGTCACACTTATTTCAGCACGTTATACAATACAGATTCAAAGCAGCTTCACAGAAATAACAAGGAAATGAGCAGAATCAATGATGGGAACTCAACAATGGAGTCAAAAAAAAAGATTCCAGAAACCTTCGATCCCACAATAAACTCATGACAGATGTGTGTGTGTGTATGTGTGTGTGACTTCATCATCATCATCTTCATCATCTCTCCTGCAGGATTCAGAGCAGCTATGCAGCTCTACAGAGAATCAACCAGGACATGGAGGAGAAAATCCACCGAATGGTAAGAGAAAATTAATTAAAAAACCAAATTACTTCAAAAATGTCCAAAGAGTGACTTAAGCCCTGACAAATGTTCTTTCGTTGCCTCATTATTGCTTGATAGTAAAACTCGTATCCCTTTGTTTATATCTCAAACGCTGACGATGCTTTATCATAAATAATCACAGTAACTCTTCAGAGACAAACGCTGAACAGCAGCAGATCCTCACTGTCCTCGGATCACACAGAACGACTCTTATACCAGACCTTCTTCAGCCTCAGTGTGTTTATCGCTTATTGAGAGCGACTGACGTGTTGAAGCACTGTCAGCAGTTATACGAAGAATTTTGAAAGCGTCGTCTCTTGTTTAGTGATCAACAAGTGCTGCTCTCTGAACAAATGAACAGCAGAAATGAAGGTGGAGATAAAGAGACACAGATCAATAACTGCACAACATTCTCACTCTCAGAGCGATTACAGGATCAGAGCCGGAGCGCAGTGATTGTCCTGGAATGAAAGCACGAGTCTGAGCTGCGGATCAGTGGCGTCTGATGATCTTAAATCACATTAAAGTTGGAAGCCATTTACAAAATCTAAACATCATCTTAAACACAATGATTTTGTGTGGTTTCAGCTCTGATTACTATTACATTCTGAGTGAGTAGACATAACTGGAATGTATTCTTTTAGTCAGTTTGAATCGGTGTCACTCTCTGACATTAGAGATGCCATGCTCCACTTAAAGCGATCATCCTGCCCCAGTGATGCAGTTTTGCTGTGCATTCTTAAGGAAGGTGTTGATATTGTCAGCCCAAGTATTTGATCTATTATTAATAGTAGTCTCCAGAATGGTATTGTACCACTTTGTCTTCAGCAAGCTATTGTTGAGCCTTATCTTAAAAAAAAAAAACAAGTCTGGACCCATATGATTAAAAAAATTATCGGACAATTTTAAAATGGCCTAGCTTGTCTAAGGTACTTGAAAACGTTTATAAACACTTTATAAACAAAGAATAATATTTTAGATAAATTCCAGTCTGGCTTTAGGGGTGGACACAGTACAGAATCAGCGGTTGTCAATGATGGATGCAGGTAATAGTGCTGCATTAATTTTATTGGATTTGTCAGCAGCTTATGACACCATTGATCACCGGATCCTTCTGACTCATTTAAAGCAGTTTGTTGGCATTCAGGGGACGGTCTTAAAATGGTTTGCTTCTTATTCGGAATGTAGATCCTTTTCAGAGAAGATTGGTAACTATTTCTCTGCTTCAGCACCTATTACCCGTGGGGACCCACAAGGGTCCGTTTTGGGTCCAGTCCTGTTTTCATTGTACATGCTCCCTTTGGGAATGATTTTTAAAAAGTATGGTATTTCTTACCATCTGTATGCGGATGACACTCAAGTCTATTTGCCGCTGAGACCGAGTAGCAAGGATTCCAATGCTATACTCCTTAAGTGTCTGGAGGAATAAAGCTGTGGATGGCTGAAAACCTCGTTCAATTGAATGAAAACAAAACAGAAATTATGTTGGGACTTGCCAAACATACGTTGCTTGCTTGCAGCTAGTACAAAATGCTGCTGCAAGGATGTTAATGAATGCTGGGAAAACGGATCATGTTACTCCCTTGTTATCTTCTTTAGGATGGCTACCAGTACAATTTCGGATACAGTATAAGATTTTGATAAATGTTTTTGAGTTAATTTTTTTAGCCCATTGGCAGATATTTGTTCTTGTTTTGATAAATTTATATCATTCATCTCCAGTAAATGTATCTGGATTTTTGAATGTTTATTTTGCCGTGACGGTCGACTGCAGCTCAGAACTCAATCTGTCTAATGATGCTGTCGAGCAATTCAGTGTTTTTCCTGAATGTGGCATTTTCTGTGTCCTCATTAGTCCAAGTTTCTTAGTGAAAACACAAATGAGACCCCAGAGACGATGTTCAAATCCTTACGACCGGCCATTCATCCACATTCAGCTCTTTCTAAACTCAGAGACAACGTCTACATTCACTCTAAAACACAGTCATCCTCCGGAAACACGCTGTTCAAAGACACTTGAGCATCTGACACTTCAGACCTCATCGCTTTCAGTTTTTTAGTAATTGGCTCACAGGGGATTTGAGACCCGACCAGAAACACACACACACATGCACACGCACACGCACACTCACACTCACACACACACACACCTC